CCCCAAAACCCCAAAACCCCAAAACCCCACAGTTTTAAATTGGACTGAAATGAATGATATAATTAAAATGAATGAAATTATCTATCTTTCATAGTAAACGATATTTTGTGATAACCACAAAATCATTGATATCGCAAACACTTCAAGTTAAATTAATTGTAGAGAATTCTAAGACTTTATAATAATCTGAATTACTCCCGACAATTAAATTTTCAATGTGTTCATTTCTCATATTTTGATCAGTGAGTGAACAGATAATCTTTTGCCTAAAGACTAGTCACACCTTATATCCTCTTTTTCTTCTAACTATTTTTCGGTTAAGTCTGTTGAACTGTATAATTTCTTTGATCAGCTGAATTGATTGAAACTGGTCTACTTGTTTTATGAGCTGGTTCTGTAGCTATATGTGCAATTAATTCTTCTTCATCGTCATACTAATCTATATCTTCTTCGTAGGCAGGAACCTCTTCCTCTAATAAAGGTGCAATCTTCTATGTAAGTATAAGCATTAAACCTGCGAGTATTCCTCCTAAAATAGGGCCAATAGTGTATGAAATTAAGAATTCTGGGATGACTGGCGCTGTTTTTTCTGGATAATAGCCTTTAGCTATGATATCAGTCGAGATTAGTGCAAGTCCGAAGGTGGGGTTCAAAGCACCACCTGTAATTGGCCCACTCATACTAACAGTAACGTAAATAGCCAACCCAACTGTTAAGTTAGAAAGCATTCCATCACTAGTGGCTGTAACATTACGATACTTGACGAAAAGGATTGATGTTACCAGAATCCAGGTGAATAAGGTCTCCTCAAACAATACTGTTATGATGTCGCCAAAGTCTACGAGTTGTTTAGTTTATGGAGGTAAAAGAGTGAATGTTCCATTTACTCCAAGCATTGCTAATGCCACGGCCATAGCTGTAAATGCTGCTAAGATGTCCACAACGATGACAAAGAATGCAACGAATAAGTTCTTGCACCATCTACCTTCTATAATGTAGACAGCGATTGTGACTGCTCCATTGAAATGTCCGCCTGATACTCTGCCAGTTAAGGTCGCCGCAATAAAGAAGCCTACTCCTACTACTGCTGAGTTGTTTTATGCACAGTTTACACTTAATAGTGCTATGAATGTTCCCAGAAACTCATATAGCGCCAGGAATATGAAACTCTTCCTTGAAATAAGTTGTAATATACCAGCTTCCATAATATCCTTTGATAAAATTAAACTTAAATTCTATAATTCCTAGATCTATTACTTATTCTACCCAAGATTTTCCTAATAATAGCTATTACCGGGGTTTTGGGGTTTTGGGGTTTTGGGG